GATATTAAATTTTAAATTATCTGGGTCATCCGATGTACTAAATAAATTTTATCTATCGTATATTCCGTCTGATTTTATAAGGTAAGCTTTAATACCGATATATTGTTGAAAATATATATTTTGTACAAGAATTTCTTAAATGAAATGTAAAATTTGAAACATAACCTCAACACATGAATAACACATTTTATATAATTTTGTTAGGAATGAGATATTATGCTTTACTATATTTTAATATGTTAAATAAGATTTTTCCTTTTCATATTAATTTTAGTCTCTGTGAAACTATTCACTTAATAGTTTAAATTGTTAAATTATTAGTTAAAGGCATTTTATCTGGTTCCTGTGCAAATTTCCTATTTCCTTTCTTAATATTTTTACCTTTCTTCCTTTTAGCCTGGCTATATCTAGACGGTTTATTTTGAGTTATATTAAGAAGTTTAGTTCAAGCTGTATCTAAGAAGTTTAGTTCAAGCTGTATCTAAGAAGTTTAGTACGAGTTATATCTAAAGAAGTTTATTTCAAGTCCTATCTAAGAAGTTTATATCAATTTTATATCAAGAAGTTGATGAAGGCCTAGAAATCACTCCTTATATTCTACCTCCTGTTACAACAGATAAGTTTTATGCAATAAACCATCTAAATTTGAATTAGTAAATCTCTGTGAATTAGAATTTGTTACTGCCTTATCTAAAACTTGGCTTAAATATAATATCTTAATGGTTAGTGATTTTCTATATTTTTATCACTAATCTATAGTCAAGTATAATAAGTTTTAAATATAGTGGTGCCCAACTTCTTTTTCAAGGTAATACGAGTTATTTAATAACCTGACCCACTCCCAAAATCAATTGAGCTTAAAACACTATAACAAATAGATAAAATAACAAGTATAACGTTACAAAAATGTTACAATGTGGAGAAATGTTTATGGTTCATTAGCGCAGGAAGCTAGGCGGTCTGGGAATTATGAAACTCTCGGTATACGAAAAATTTAGTAAAATTAAATTACTACAACTGAAAACTAATTAAATCTTAATGGTTCCCTGCATCCGGAAAATTTATTGAAAATAAATTATTATATTGAAAACTATTTAAATCGGAAATTATGTACACCCGATATATGGTGGAAGGTATGTTTTTCCAAAATCGCGAAATTAAAATAAATATTCTGGTTAAAATAGTAAAACAAAAAAAACGATAATTAAAACGGATTAATTAAATTTTTTTTTAACAAACGGCTACCAACTGGGAAGCTTATAAAAATGAAAGAAAACGGGTAGTTACGACTCTCCCGGTATACGGAAAATTTATTAAAAATAAAGTTTGCTTTTATCACCATTAACCCACTTACAATTTACGTTCAGAAAAGGAAAACCTACAATACAATGAAACAAAGTTGTCGGAACCCCCTCGTATCGCGGCGAAAATTTTCATCGAGTGAGAAACATGGGTATTTATGCCGTGGTTTGGACGGCGCCGGCGGAGGCGACGATCGTAGAAAATAATATTTTGAAATTTGCCCAGAGTCGATCGAGAGCGTGTGTGAATTTAATTCTACAGAAGTCGTCTGGCTTCGTTCAATAACTAATTGTGGACGGGGAACGGAATGATTGAAATACAATTGAATGAATAAATAAATAAAAGAAAAACTTACATGAAAAATACTGGGTGCTTCTTATAAAAAAAAGGCCAACGGTTTCCCACTAAGGGATGAAATGAAAAATGCTGGGCATGAATCAAAATTATTTCACTCGTCGGACGGGTGTCCCAAACTAATTGCAAATAAAAAAAATAATATGCGGTTTCCTACCTTTACAAAAATAAACGGGGTTGTTCAATATTCTTTCGATATTACGGTCACTCACGGAGTATTTCACTCGACACTGCAGGAGAGAGAAGAGTTTACGGGAGTTTAGTTTATTCAAGAGAGGGTAATTCCCAGATGTGATCGAATTTATGCTTTTTCGCTGGGCAAGATGGAAGACCGGTAAGCCCGAGTGGGGGATACCACCACTACAGCTGACTGTTTACAATTTAAAATAAAAAAAATGTCCTTCTAGTAACTTGACAAATAAAAGTAGATAATCGGTACGAAATCGACTCTACAAAATGGATTTCGGCAAATATAAGAATATTTTAACCTATGAGGGTAATCGCAATTGTTAAAAACGGTAATTTCTGGGAAACAGAAATACATGTCCTCAGGCGGGAATTAATTGAAATAAACATTTTTTAAATTGAGAGCAAAATTTAGTGACTTCGTCACAGGGTGTACATTTCCTACGTTCTTTTCGCTACTTTCAACTAGTATCGGGTATGGTGGTAAATCGGCAATTTTTTCCCCTTGGGATTAGTTGGATATGTATCCATTGAGATTCTATCTCAATCTTGTAGGTTAGAAAGGGAATGTAAAGTATAGGAAAATGATTTTCTTAAGCAATAATTCGACTAATGTATTACTCACAATGGCTCCTAAGGTTTTTTTTTTTTTTTTTTAATGGCACTGGATAAAACCAAAAGGCCAGACTATTGTAGTAATCCATAACTCTTTAATTGTTTTATCCACTATTGTTACATGATTACATTATTATTATTATTATTATTATTATTATTATTATTATTATTAATTATTATTATTATTATTATATTTTGACTTACAGCTATCAAAATACCTGAGTTTGTAATTAATTATAAAAAATGTCTATTTTTTTATTATATGTATTTTTGATTATTATTTTTTTGTATTATTTTTTGTTTTTTCTTTTTTTCCTTGGTTTCATTTTTTATTTTATCATTTATTTTATTTTTTCGTTTCAGGTTTACAATATTTTTAGGGTAGCTCAGCTACTTACAATCTTGTATTAGTTTTTTTAACAAATTCATACAATATTTTATAAACTTTAACATCGTTTAATGAAAGCAGAACATCAATGTTTATTGGTAGAGGTATACCAATATGAACTAATTCTAAGTACATTGTGTCAGTATCTAGCGAATTTAGGACACACTCTAAAATTATATGATTGAGATCAGCAATTTCATCACAAATTAAACATAAATTATTATCTGATAGACCAAATTTTTCCTTGTAGGCAGGATGCATAGCATGATTACTTCTCATACGACAAATAACTCGGATAAAAGACCTATTTATTTCGTTTTTGAACCAGGGACACTTTGGAATATTAGGTTGAATGTTTTTGTATTTCTTCCCTTTTTCTTCTTTAGAATATGCATCTTGCCAAGTTTTAAACATTGATAATTTAGATTTAGCAATAAAATCTGATTTTGGAGTTTTAATATTTTTATTAGTTCCCGAAACAGTAGCCTTTTTTGCTAGTATATCCACTTTCTCATTGTTACTAATACCTACATGAGATTTTATCCACGCCAACGAAATTTCTTTATTTTGTTCCAAACATTGATAGTTAAGCTTAAGAATTTCTGAGGCTATATAGTTGGTAGGACTGGTAACGTTCCATTTTGCAAAATATTCTACTGCACTCTTACTATCAGTAAATATAACATATTTAGATTTATTTTCCTGAAGACATACGTTAAAAGCTTCTTTTATAGCAACAAGTTCAGCATTGTATATTGACATTGTACTGGGAAGTTTAAATGAAATTTCATAATTTTTGTTAGGATACAAAATTGCACATCCTAATTGGTTCCCAATTTTAGATCCGTCCGTATATATGTTTTCAAATGTATTCCATTTTGTTATTAAATCTTCTTTAAATGCGTTTTTAATCACTAGAGGGGTTTCATTCAGTAGATTTTTGTTTATATATGTTTTCAATGGCGTTGTTAAAGCTGAAAAATGTAAGGACCATAGTGGAATTGCATTTTGTTGATGGAGGTCTGGAATCATTTCAATGGTAGATAAAAAAGTCTCTGCTAGTAAAGGAAGTTTTTTCTTTGACCAATACTTTCCAGTTAAACACAGAGAAGATAAATTGGATAAAAGAGGGAGAAGAACCGAATTTTTCGCCCTTTGATTTATTAAAAACTTTTCGGACAAAAATTTTCTTCTAAAATTGAGAGGAGGTTCTGTAGTTTCTGATTCTATTACATTAATTGGAGTACTTGGGAGAAAACCTATACTTAATCTAAGACATTTGTATTTTATTCTGTCCAATTTTTGCAAATGAGTATTTGATGCATCATTGTATAATATTGCACCATAGTCAAAAATTGATCTAATCAGCGCCCTATAAAAAAGAATTGCTATGTTGGGGTCTGCACCCCAATTATATTTGGAAACAGTTTTTATTAAATTTACAGCATTTTCTGTTCTTTTTACAATATAATTAATATGTTCTTTCCAGTTTAGCTTCTTGTCCAATATGACACCCAAGAATTTATGACTATATGACTACTTTTAAGTTGAAATTGACAATTTCCTAGTGAAGCAACATTTGAAAGTTGAGTTCTTTTCCTTGTAAAGCAAACTACCGCTGACTTGTTTTCTGAAATTGTTAGACCATTTTCAAACAACCATTTCTGTATGTCTTCTACACCTAATGATAGTTGATAAATACTAGAATCAATACTTTTATGCTGTTAAGGTTATTTTCTGTTATACTTTAAATTATGTTTCACTTTTTATTAACACTTACTTTCCACGTGTTCATTCACTCAGAAACAAGGTTAGAATCCCATGAATGATACTTATATCGAATATCTAAAATCTCAAGAAGAATAAGAATATAAGATAATCGTAGCTCTGTATATGCCGGTAGCACCATTAAAAAAAATATCCTCTGATGCATTAAACTTAGAGAACAACGTGAAACAGAGTAATATGTAACTGAACTGTCAATTTTTCTTCATTGTTGACTACTAAAGGTACTATAGAATTCCAATTTTCTCTATTTGTTGTTAATTATTTAAAAAATAATTAATTTGCTTAAAGATATTATATACTTATTCCCGAATATATTTTTTTCTAGAAAGATAATAAAGGTACCTCTTTAAAAAAAAGTAGACCAAGCTCAAAATTAAAAATAATTTATTATTCAATCTGGATACATTCAGTAACATGGTTCATTCAAAAGGAATACATGCATATACTCTTAAACCTACTATTCATAAATATATAAACTAATGGTCAATATATACAGCTGAAAATATATACAGAAATTACAAAAAAATAACATTTTTTTACAAATCATTCTTCAAAACATAAAGGTAGCAGTAGTACAAAGATTGAAGATATTCCAAAAAGCATTAAAATTAACATTTTGTGTTTGCTAAAATGCTATTTATAATTAACAAGCGTGTCAATTATGAAACAAATGCATGAGGCGTTTCTGTCATCTTTGTACCACAGTACTTATAGATACTAAATAAATATAAATCAGTAAATTAGCGAAATTAAGAAAAAACTAAGTAAATAATAGTAACTTTTGTTAAACGTTTTAGTCTTTCAATTCTAAAACCAACAGGATGACTCAATAGAATGGATTTTTCACAAGTTAACCTACAAAAACTGTTTTGTATAAATTTGATTTTTAAAATCAGACACAATCCATTAAAACATCCGTATTTTAATCATTGTAATTGACTTCATTTTAACATTTCATATTTTTCTTTAATTATAAAAAAAGTAACAGAAGTGTCATATATAAGTGATTGCGCGAATGTGTGAACATTGTAAAACAGACATATGTCATTTAGAAACCACACCGTGGTTTGACATTTGTCAAAACATGTATTTTTTAGGTTACATTTTTTCTAGAGCTACATTCTAAAGATTTATTTAAGAGTTTTTCAGAGGATTTTTTTTAAATATTTTAGCAACATTTTTCCGCAAGAATATTTTCATCGAATAACAAAAAACTGAAAAATATCTAATATTATTCAGGCTGTTGTTGTTGAAAAATGCATTAATAATAATTCATCAAAAATAGTTTAATTTTAATATTTAAAAAATTTCAATTGGATGCACCTGAGACTATTTAAAAACTTACAATGACTATAGGTATATCATGAACTAAAAATGATATTAGAAAATACTTAAAAATAGATATGAAAGGAGAATTTAAATGTCAAAATACAAAACTCACCATCAATCCCCTCAAAAAATTAATAAATAATTTATACTCTAAACAGGGTTATTCAATAGTACATAATAATTAAAAACCTATTTAAAAAGTAGATAACTTGTTTATGTACTTAAATTATAGTCAACGAGTTTAAAATAAATTATTGTTTTTTTATTAGGTTTTACTCTCATGATATCATCTTTAACTCATGAGATATAGTGATTGTACGTTTTTCAATTGTATGTATATCTTAAAATCAGTACAAATATTTATATGGATGACTGCAAATAATATCTAATTTTTATTACTGAAATTGTTCTCTATTTAAACAAACAAAAAATATATAAATCTAATAAAAACGTCTTTGTCAGCTTTTAAATCAACTAACACAAAATAATAGCCAGGAAGTTTAAATTAAATACAGGGTGTTTTAAAAAGATTGGTAATAAATTATACCACATATTCTTGGGTCAAAAATAGGTCAATTAAACCGTACTTACCTATATACAAAAAAGCATCCAAAAATAGTTACAGGGTGTATAAGATAAAAATTTAAATGAATTTTTTTAACGTTGCTCTTAAACCGTTTGGCATTTTTTCATGACATTTTATATGACGTGTAAGAATACCATGACTAGTAATACCGAGGAAGAGGCAACTTTTTTTTCTTGATTTTTATAGGTTTTTTGGAGGGGGTCACCGCTCTTTTCTCCACTCAACTTTTATATAGTAAAAAATTTAATTACAAATGAAACGCCACTGGAATGCAACATCCATTTGGAAACTTTTTTGTTTCTTAGTATTAGTTTAGACGATACAGCCATTTAAAATGACAACTTAAAAATATTCAATGGAAATTCTAGGTATGAAAAATATCAAAATCAAGTTTATTTTTAAATTACAAACTAATGTCATCAAAATAAAAAAAAATTAATTTAACAGTTGTTTAAAATTACATTCTCCTCCTGTATACACTTACTACATAGTTTTAACAATGAAAATGGAATTTTGATATTTTTGCATATAATTTACAATGAATATTTTTAAGATGTCATTTTAAATGGCTGTATCGTCTAAACTACTAAACATTTTCCAAACAAATACTAAGAGACAAAAAAGTTTTCAAATATAGATGTTGCATTTCAGTAGCGTTCGATTTTTAATAAAATTTTATATTACAAAGAAGTCGAGTACAGAAAAGGGTGGTGACCTCGATTTTGATAGTCATGGTATTCCAATACGTCATATAAAATGTCATGAAAAAATGTCAAACGGTTTAAGAACAACGTTAAAAACATTCATTTAAATTTTTATCTTATACACCCTGTAATTATTTTTGGGTGCACTTTTGTATATAGGTAAGTACGGTTTAATCAACCTATTTTTGACCCAAGAATATGTGGTATAATTTATGACCATTTTTTTTTAAACACCCTGTATATATAAAATTAAAATCAACTCTTGTTTTGTACCTAAAGAAAAATATTTATGCCAATCTAAAATGTAAATGTATACGAATAATCTATATATCATTTTTATTTTTGTATAATGTTATAATGTGCAGGTTTTAATAATGCCCTTAAATTGTGGACATTTAAGATACAAAAATAGTTGTTAAGTTGTTTGGGTATTTGCTATTCACGTCTTTTTTAAATTGCGATGCACAGGGTGTTAAAATTACTTCCCAATATTTTACTGCCGAGAGAAAAGAAAAAACTTAAATACTATTTTTCTCAAAAGTCCAAAATACTTAAATTTCACATTCATGCGTTACTGCATTTATTTTAAGATAATAAAATTTGTGCAATAATTTTATTATTATGGACTTTGTTTCCCACAGATATATTGGTGAAATAAAAAAAAACGGTCGAGATCCGAAAAACTGAAATGCAATTTTGGAAATATGAAAATGAATAATCTCCAATCCCCCCTACGAAATTATGAAAAATACACCACTATATCCCCAAAGTGAAAACAAACTAAAGAAAAATTTGTTGTTTGCAAATTGGATTATTTTAACAGGACGTTAGAATCAGGGCTGCTGTATCTGAAGGGGTTGCGACATAGAATCAATATGTGGATAAAGTGGACACCGAGGCAAGGGAGGAAATAGTAATCGGTTTAAGTTGGCAATACTTTTCTGATGTTCGTTTGCTGAAAACAATAGTAATCGTTTGTTCTGCAATAATATTATAATATTACAAAATTATAGAATGTTGTACGAGTGGAATGAACAGTGGACGTTTTTATTTTGATGTCCATCTCAGATTTATAAAGAAAAAACTGTCATTGTTAAAAATAAAAAGTGTCAAACACAGGGCATTAATTTGATAGAATGTACACTTTTACGTATCTATTAATCATTGTCAAATTTTAAAATCTCAATAAGAATAACAAAATACGAAATTTTGACAGCTAATAAATAGAGGGATATTCATACCAACTTTCATGTGTAGTGATTCATGTAAAAACTTTTCATTTATTTTATAAGGTAGTTGAGTTCAGTATTGCACATTTCTCCTCAATTCAATATGTTACATCGAAAAAAGTTTGGTATTATCACTTTTTACGCTCCAATATTTCGTAAAAATAACAGATTTAGTAGAAAACGAGACCATCGAATAGCTCCGTAGTTAAAGACAAAGCAAACATAGTTTTTAATGATAATTCATCTTTGGTTTCTAAAAGCTCCGAGTCTATTTTGTCAATACTTTTATCCATTTCATTATGAATTTTTTACATTGCATTTAAAAATTATTTCGACATGTGGCATGACTTTATGGAAAACTGTTAACCAAAATATGAAATCTCTGACCTGTAATCTAAATTTATGAGCTCCGGCTTGCTCAATTGTAGAATTTAATTTAATATCTTTGTCGTTCTCTAAAATATCCATAACGTGTATCAGTTCATTTCGGTATTCATAAACTGTATTAACTCCCCGTGATTGGAAATTCCATCTCGTTTTTGATGAGCGTGGTAATCGTCTATGAACTATATCATCCAATACTTTTGTTCTTTGGGGTGATGTAGAAAAAAAAAAACAAATTCCAGTTAAATGAGCGAAAAAAATCCGAACAGACGCATTAATTGAACCTGCACTGCTCATTATAAAGTTAATCTGATGTGCCTAGAATAAAAATAATTTGCTAAAGAATATTTATCTTTAATTATTTTTTGTACCCCATTCATATCTCCGCTCATGACTGACGCTCCGTCGTAACTCTGAGCCATCAACTTATTTGGTGTGTCATTAATTAATGGATTAATTTCATTTAAAATGCAATTTGCTATTGAAATGGCATTGGGTCCGGGAGGATCTACAAATTTCCAAAATCTTTCTACTTGCTTACTGGAGGCAATGTATCGTAGAATAGAAGTTCCTTTATTTGGATTTTTTCCTCGAGCGAGTGCGTAGAAAAAGGTTTTAGTAACAGATTGCTTATTTATTCATTTTGCTTCGGACTCTCGGACGATTTTTAATTTATTATACTTTAAAAACTCAACTATTCTAACTACTTAACAAACAAAAATTCAGCACGCATAAAATGTCAAAAGCAATACGCCGAACTCGCCGAACACGCGATTGAAACAATTCTATTCTAACTATTCATTCCGAGACGCTTGAAATGTGGCCCCGTTTGAATGTATAAGAAGCGCTTTCTACAGGCGAATGGCGTGACCTTAAGTAAACTTTTACAATGGATTGATAAGAAAGAAGCCGGACCACTGGTCGATGTGCTCGGATAGACGGCGGACAGTCAATTGCTTGAATTAATAAATTTGTTGTGTCTAGGAATAATACGACGCAAGTTTTTTCAACGGGATCAAATTAAATAATGATAAATAATTTATATACGTAATGTATCGTTTAGCCATAATATAAAAAGAAATATTTTTAGAGACCGAAATATTTACAAATTTTGCGCCAGTGCCAAGGCTCTCTGGCCCCATAGGACAAGCCGCCACTGTCATCGTCGACATCATTTTCAAGGGTAATATAACGAAACCTTGATAAATAGTTGACTATGTTTATTGGATCTAAATTTTGAGTTTTTTGATATCAATTTGTCAAGACATAATTTTGTCATTCACAATCTGAATGGAGTCCGAGAGCTTTAGCTCGATGACTTTATTCTTCGATTTATTAGTGACAAAATTATGTCAAGACAAATTGTATAATACACGAAAAATTTACTACCAATAGAAATAGGCGTTAAATTATAAAATGCCGAATTATATTTAATAAGATTATTTCTAGAGCCCTAGATGTAATTTTAAATAAATACACAATAAAATAACTTTTTACAAAAACCTTTTATTTTCGGTTCATTTTGAACCGTTCCATGACATATTAGCTTGTACTCTGACAATATTTGACAGTAGCCTTTATTAAATATTACAGCTATAATTAAGTATGCGAGTTACTATCAAAATAGGTGAATATCAAGCACCATGCACGACAGTCAATATGATAATCGATTTATTTGGTTAGTAATTTGCGGTGTGATTGTTTAAAATGTCAAAAATGACAGGCGAGGGAAATAATAATCGTTACAAGTCTACACTATGTTAACCCATGAATCCTTATCCTTCGAAATAAAGATGAGACCCTTAATAACTACATTTGCATGTGAGAGAAATAAAGATACACTCTTGTGAATCGGGTGTCTGTCTGCCGTGATTAGCTCTACTTCTGTCTAATTAACAACATCCCTTATTCTATACCGTTCTTCTGGCGCCATTGTGGGAAAGGTAACATACTGTTTCAATACCCAAATATTGATGGGCATGAAACTTGTATCTGTATTGAATGATTTAGTTCAATGTTTATCCATCAAATCGCAATTAGCTTAACTATGTTTTGACAGAAGACAAGCAAAATATGCAAAAGCGTTCCTCGAAAATCACGTGATCAACACTAATATATTCGCACTAGCATCTCTGAGGTGTAATACTGAACTCACAGTGATGCGTTGCTCGGAAATGTCCACAGACATGTCTGAAGAGTGTCCAAATAAACTTTTCAAAAATGGAAAGGTGTTATGTGCATGCACAAAAGTAAATTAAATAATTTGGTTGAATTTCTTTCAAATAAAAACAAAATATAGTTTAAAAAGGAACAAACGACAAATGACTACCATCTTTAAATGTTTTAATAATTAGCGACTGAGATAATATAGGCTCCACATTTAAGGTTTTTAAATTTTGAATTTTAGATTTATATCTTATAATAACAAAAACGAGAAAAACATAGCAAAAAATCAAAAGAATCTATCCTAAAAAGTTTTTCAAAAATGATTCCAGAGAGGATAAACATATACATCTTCTATGCCCAGGGGATATCAAGCAGGTTTCTTGGAAAAAGGTCAAAGTACTTAAAAAAAGAGGAGAATAACTAACGCAAATATAGAAAAACACATTAAAAAAACACACTACATAAATGAAATTATGAATTTGATTTTATTTCAATTCTGACACACACTTCGCATTTTTGAATTTTTTCGTTATTTTCATTATCTCTAAAAAGAGAAAAATGTTTTTACAGAAAAGTCTACCAATTTTGGTGAATACATTTTTACGAGGGAGTAGAAAGTCGATCTAGCTCTCCAATTTCAACAAAATTGCTGGGCAGCATATCTAATACAACTGAGGGGTAAACCACTAAGGTCTAAACGTACCCGTATTTCGGAAATTTTAGCGTTTAGTACATTTATATAATTTCCAATGAATGATCATTATTATTGTACCATCTATACATTTTCTTCTTAAGGACTATTCAAAAGATTATTTTGCTTTTCACTTTTTTTTTATCCATCTCCTGCTGCGTCTATATTATCACAATTTGAGTGTTTAAGGAAGATAGTCGAGACCGTTGCTAGGCAATATAACAAGTTGGTTAAATCGAACAGATCATTATTTTTCCAGTTACATATTCAACGTCACTTTTAATAATAAAATTGTCTTTAGTACCTACTTGCAAATATGCCTGAAAGTTTAATGTACCCCAACAGAACTGAGAGTAGCTGCAAAAAACTATCTAAGGAATAATTCTGGAAAAAGCAGGGAGATGTACGAAAACACTTACGAGGCATGTAGTAAGTGACATTTGCTAGCCAGGAAAGTGACACATTCTGGTCGGGAAAATTACTTTGCTGACTATCAATAAGCAAGTAAGGAATAAGACGCTTCCCGGCTGTTTAGAATAGTTTAAACAGATTAAACAGATCGAGAGAATTTGTAGGTTGTTTTCGACTGAAAACTTACCAGTATTTCGGGAGTGGTTCCACCCCTCGAATACAACTAAACGAGAGCACGAAGGATTCTAATACATAATATAAGGATTTTTTGGCTTACGACCAGCGATACGCCACTATAATACTCGTATTCCTGAAGGATAAAAAATGACTCAACAAATCTTTGTTTCTCGTCTTTCTTCCTCTTCGTTGATTATTTCGGTGAATTTACGAATCGGGCATCATCGTACATGACAAGTTAAGACGAAACCATTAAAGTTAAAAACAAGCATTTTTTTGTGCTGAAAGGATACTTAATTTCCGAAGTTTTAAGATTTTTCGTATCCACCATAATGTCAATGAAATAAAATATAACTTAACATTTACAGTGATATCTTAAAACTTTATCAATCCAATTTAAAATAGACGTGTACAGCATCAGTTTTTTTATCAGAACCCAAATTAGGATAATTTAGCAACATAGTTGAATGTCAAAACTTTATTTCTGAGCGACCTTCCACAATTTTTAGTGCAATAACCCTAATAAAACTTTAATCATTCCTCTCTAGTATCATAGTACTTTTTACCTACTGAAATGGGCTTAAATACAGCTTTCAATGAATATTATCATTAAACAATTATAGTAAACGATTGAGGTAGTATAGTAGGGAGTCGCTATCACTATAAAAGCGACACAAATGTCTTAAGGGTGGTTCCAAACTGATCGTGTTCAATTAGTAAAACTGAGTAAACAAATCTTGAAAATTTTTAAATGTCATTAAATGAAGTATAAATTCCTAATAATTGACTCGTCGACCCATTGCTGCACAGTGATTAGCACAACCAAGTGATACCAGCTCCCTAGTACCTAACTAGATGCAATAAACTAACACGGAATATCCCTACCTCTATTACGTACTTTATTTATCACTAGTGTGATACATTCAGAAGAAAATGACGTCAATAATGGGCTCCATCTTGATTAAATACTATTTAATATCGAAATGGTAGCTCAGCGTATGTATATAATATACTGACACCGGTGAAGTAGTTAACAGGCCAATCAATGATCAATATCATTGTTAGTTTGCATTTCTTGACTCGAAGTGTTTAAAGCACTGTCATTTAAGTGGAAACCAGTCCATTTTCAGTAGTCCCATTTTGGATTTCTGTGTCTTTCCTATTCAGTTTCGTCCAAGTGTCACCGAGAGCTTTGGCGAAGTGATCGTCCACCGATAAGCCAGTGCCGTCCATTAGTTCGATCACGCTGGTAGTTGTTGCTGAGGTCGTTGTTGTTGTGACAGCAGGTGGAGTTTTTGGAGGTGTCGTGGAGTCTTTGGAGGAGTTGTTGCTTTGGAATACGACATGGTAGTCATTTCCCAATGACCGTCGGAAATGTTCGTCTATTATTGGATCGCACATCGAAATACCTTAACAGAAAAACATTGAATATTTTAAAATTAATCATCAACTTTTTTCGAAAATATATAATAAACACGCTACCAAAATTATTGCCAAGTTTGGTTTACGATTTTTTTAAAAACCTTTTTAATTTATTAAGAAGCAAGAAAACGAAATCAAAAACAAATATATAGAAAAATAATAAATGTCAAGTATTAGAGGAGGTAATTACTTAGCCTATTTTATGAATAAAATCTCCTATAAACGTGTACTGTAAATTGCTTTTTTAGAGATAAAGGTTTTTCAAAATATCAATTCGGGATTTTCCTCCGTGACGACCAAGTGGTCCTCTTAGTACTACAACCAAACCTCTCAAGATTAGGGAAAATCGTCAAAAAGAGTGTTTGGGATAATAATAAAAAAACATTTTTTTTTTTTATTAAAACCCAATAGGTATCTAAAAATAGTTATTTGTGATCTATTTTGACTGAATCAGAAATTAGCGGACGAAGTATAGCGGAGGCCAAGCACCTTTTGGTTAGGCCACAAAAGATCATGCGGCCGAAGTGCACACATTTTTTAAACGAGTGTTTCATCAAGTAGATCGTAGTAGATAGAATATTTTTTACATTCTTGTTCTTATAAAAAGACTTGGCGGCTAGAGACCAAAATATAGGGGGTTTACAATGACAGAAGATAAATCTCAGTATCTAAAACAATAACGGAGTTGGCTGGAATTTTGTTTTATAATGTTCTGAAACCAATTTTCAAACATCGGGTGATCCATTTCTTCATGGCAGTCTTTTGTTTTCTTTGACTCAAACATTAATAAACAATGTGGCAAAAATACATCGGTGCTTCCAATGTGGTTTATTATAAAATATTTTCTTTTTCTGTTGGATTTTTTAATCAACGAGAGACCCCTTCCATAAAGTGTTATTTTTTAGCATTAACTCATGTTTCATCTAAATAAAATACCTGTTTATGCTGATTCCTGGCGTCCGCTATTTTCCTTAAATAATAAAGTCTCCACGCAATGATTTCGTCTTTCTCTGTTAAATAGCTGTTTCTGTCAAGTTTTTTGTAACTGTGTGTGTAATTTTTAAGTGTAGGAATTTCATTTCGAAAGAAAAAAGAATGTATCATTTTATTTATTACATTCTTTACCTAAGTTTCCTGCACGATTTTTTTTTTAATTTTGACTAATCACGTGTTTATCAATTAGTAGTCTTCTTAGAAACTTGAAAATAATGTCCATCGATTTGTTTTGTACGTTGACATTTTTTTCACCAAAATTCTACGGTGCATAGTTTCTGAGGTACGGGCCATATCCTGCAGCCTACGATAACCGACCTTGTCCTATTTGGACACCCAGTACGTTAGAAAACAATAAATATCTGCTAAACTGATAATTAAGAATAAAAAAACGATGATATTAAATATTTACTGAAAAAATTAATTAAAATTAAATATTTCCCTTTAAGACTGATACGTCTATGCATGTTTTCAATATAGCTAGCGGATGATGACGAGCTGACCGCCATGATTTAGAAATGGAATGATATAGGCCTTGACTTCACAACAAATACACTTTTATTTATTTATTTATTTTACAAACTGTTCTATAGGAACTTCCCAATTAAAGAACAGGCAAAATATGACAAAACCAATATCTCAGAAAAATACAATGTTAAAAATTACAAAACAAAAGAATAAAGATTTAAGAACGAAAAAAAAAACAGACTATTTAAAACGTTAAAATAATCACAAAAGCAAATAATGTTTTATGTCTAAAATATTATGTTAAATATATCCAACTCAGAGTTAATGCTGTTGCAATTACTACACATGACATATAAGTAAAAAGTATCATTGCACCTAGAAGTTTGGCGGGGAATTCTAAAATTTAAGATATGCAGCAGGTCTTTACAATTTATTTTGTTGGTTATGACTTTGTGCAGTGTAACCACTGAAAAATACTTGCACCTTGCTTTAAGACTTGAAAAACGATGTCTTACAACAGTTCGTTATGTGGGGTTCCAATTGGAGGATACACTTTGTCTTCTCGGAAAATATTTGAGAAACCGTCTTTTAAGAGCCTCTAACCTGGTAACGTGTACCTTGTAATTGGGACTTCATATAACCGAAGCACATATAAGCTTTGAGCGGATAAACACATAATAAAGATACTTTAACGTACTTGCATTCTTAAAATCCCGACAGTTTCGAATTATGAATCCGTACATGCGGCTTGCTGCAGTTAATATACCGTCAATGTGGTCATTGAAGGATAGTGCTGAATCAAAAGTAACACCCAAATCTACAAAGTTATTCGGTCTGCATAATAGAGTGTTGCCTATATGGTAATTGTAAGCAATTGGATCAGAGCTTAGTGAATAAGACATGACAGTACACTTCGAAGTATTCAAATTAAGGTTATTTTTCCGACACCATTCGATAACTCTCAGATTTTCAGATAGCCGTTCACAATCCGCAACGTTCTTAATTGTTATGTAAAACTTGAAGTCGTCGGCGTAAATTAAAGAATCAACATCAATTACATGCACGATGTCATTCACGAAAATATTAAACAGCAACGGGTCTAGATTTGATCCCTGAGAAACACCGGAGGTGGCAGAATACTGATCAGACTAAACTGCGTAATTATGGAGAGATTTGTAACTGTTGAACGATCTTTTACGAAGCCATGTTGTTGATCCGATACTGTGTTGCGGACGTGTTGGTAAACTGTACGTTCCAGCAATATTTCCAACACTTTACTAAAGTTACAGATGATAGAGATTGGGCGACAGTTTATCAATGTTTAGTTGGGATGTGTTGTTACATGACTGAAAACATATGTACCAAAAATTAAATAGAACTATGTCCAGCTTTATTGGTAGTCGTAAAAAAGTTAGGACATAATATCATAATCTCTGGAAATAAAATCGAAAAGTAGAAAAGGTTACATAAAAACTCATTTTCAAAAAAAAAAAATGGACAGTGTACAGATAAATTACAGCATCATTTTGGCAGCGTCGCTTATAATTATTACCCTGTATAAAATTTATTTTTAAAACGAACTAACCTGAAGGCAATTCCTCCCTCGCAGGCACCCCATTGTGTATTACAGACGGCCTGTAACTTGACCTGTACCCGGGATTACTTATAGTTTGAGCGTAAGAGGGTGGCAACCCTCTCTGTCTGACGCTCATATCCAGCGGCGTATCAGTGGACGACGTGGTTGAGGACGTCCAAGGGGCGACGCCGTTGTTTTCGGGACTGGCCGATGTCGGTGGTGAGGGGGACGATTCGCCCAAGAAGGATTCCGAATATTTGGGATCGGAAGTTTTTCGGGGATATTCGGGAGGTCTGGGTCGTCGATCTCGTTTCCATTTCGTCGTGTGTTTTGTGTATGGTTTGGTCGGGTCATCTGTAACAAAAGAAATAAAATTAATTTATTTTCAAGGGAAATATGGGTGGTACGATCTGGAGGCGCTACTGAGAAATGTCTACTAGGAAAGTCTCCTAAACAGAGAATTCTGCCCGGAACCTCCACCATGTCACAATATGACGTATTATTTGAAAAAAATTGTTATAATTGTTTATTAACAAAAATGGGACTATGTCCCAGGGGGTCAAACAAAAAAATATATTATTATTATTATTGAATTTTATTAATATTTTCTGACTTTTTAAATTTTAATCTAAATCAATTGTGTTTATCCGGAATTTTATTACTTTTTTTAAAATAAATACGATTTAGTCCTGAAGAGTAAATTCTTATAAAAGTATATTGTTAAATGAGCAAAAATTTCCTACGAGTATGAAAATAGCATTTCATTCGAGTTAAACACTATACTTTTACCAAGGATATAACACGCTGCTACCCATTTTAATTAGTTTATGTAATTAATAAAATTAAAATGACATCACTCTTCATTTAATTTCATGGCACGCCTGATTTTCTTAAAATAATTATGAATCGACTACTTCGTATTATCAGAAAAGAAACTGATACGGAAATGATTACTTTATGTTATCAGAATGATCAAATAAAGAAATTTACTTTATTTCTTAATCAACAGTGGTTGAGAAAGTAGTTTTGTATTATAGCTAAAGAAAAACTTACTACAGTGGCGCTTATCACATAAAGAATAAAACAAAGTAGGCTTAATAATAATCCTTTTCATGGATGCAGTCAACGTTTTCGAATTTTTATTCTTATTTCAACTCCTTTCAAATCAAACTACACAATTAACCTAACAATCTAGGAATTTACTAAGGCATTCATAATTGGATGGATCTTCCGTGACTCCAGCAATTTTCTTCTCTACGACCGTCAATCATTCTGAATGAACTTAATAGGTAATTTAACCTACGAAGGACGAATTAAAGAAATTGACTTTTCTATAACGTAATGAGTCAGTTATCGGATATAGGCATCCGGTGTTTTTCTAGTTGAATAGGTAGATGTTGAGAACTGTTGTATGTAGGTATTTAATTTGTTGCATGTTCCTAATATATTTTTTTTGAGAATATATTCGACTGAAACTATTATTATGATCAAATATAATTTACTAATATGCTTTCTTAACAAAAAAAAAACTATGGAAAGTAATTTTTTATTCAAGACTGTCTCTAAAATTTACCCAATTAAAATTATATGTATACATAGCTGTAGTTCAAGATCGAACCATTAATCTTTGTTGAATTTCGAAGAAAACCCTACACATTCTGCATAAAAGGAGCGAAGAAGGTGGATATTTTCAAATCAAACAAAATAAATTTACCAGAAGGAATTCAAATTGAAATACGATAGGTTATCAATAAGAACCATCAAGACAAATCAGTTATCAGTCGGGTCACAATATTAATTGAAATGACATACACGTATTATATTGTAAAAAACCAGATGGTTAAAAGTACTTAAGGTGATTACAGCACCCCCTTATAATTTTCGGACAAGGATATCTCAGAAAGTAATTTTTTTAAAGTTTTAATTCCTTCCAGTTTCCGAGAAAAAATCAAAGGGCTTTAAATTTTGAAATATCATAATGAAAATAAATGCGTTCCTCAACAGCACTATTCTTAATATAATCTCCAAATTTAAGCTCTTAATCTCTTGTTAATGATATTTTAAAATTTGCCGAAATTAGTGACTAAAATGTCTCGTTAAGTGCTATGGAGGAATGCATTTATTTTCATTATGATATTTCAAAATTTAAAGCCCTTTGATTTGTTTTCTTGGAAACTGGAAATAATTACAACTTTAAAATATAAGCACATTCTAGATATTATTGCCTAATTTATTTTGCCAAAATTTTAATTTAAAAAAAAATTACTTTTTGAGATATGCTTGTCCGAAAATTATAAGGGGGTGTTGTAATCACCTTAAACATTTGGATTTTAAGTATAAGGTATTTGATAACAAACAAGAACATTTTTAAGACAATATATTAAAAATATGAAAAAAAAAACCACTTCAATTGTTTATTTTGCCGAAACGTGGATATTTGCCAAAGAAAATCTTACCAAAAATCTTGGCAAGTCGGAACAAAAAAAGTTGTTCACGCATTACTACGAGCAGTGGAAAACGGTTATAGTGTGGATAATAAAGGTGGTTTTACCAGATGCAAGTTTAGTCTTTGTCGCAATTGTTGTTCTGGAACACCAGTCTTGGCTAACTGACTTACTGTAGTCGATCATGGGCGCCGCCAAAACTTTTTCCAGAGGGGGGGGGGCAAGAATGCAAAATTGTGAATTCTTAAAACAAATTACAGAAATGTATGGATTTATAGACACTATCCGCTATCGTATAATACAATACGGAATACAATGAGCTTAGACGTGGTCGACTTTACCGTTTCAATGGATTAGATACTCTAAAAAATATACCGAAGGTCCAGAGCGAAAACCCGATAAGTAATAAATTTTGTTTTTTTTTTTAAGGTGAAGGGGGAGAAAAAGTCCTTTATATCTCACAAGGAAAGTTAATGTTTAATTATTCAGTAAAACATTGAGTGCGACCGGTTTCGAAGTATCATCACTTCATCTTCAGGCTCGCCTAGTGGAAAGGAGAATATGTGGTGTAAGGTGTGTTAACTTTGAGCCAACGATATATAAAATAGTAAAAAAGAAAACTCACCATACTCTCCATCCACTAGGGAATACTACAAACAAGTTTCATCAAATGTGGGGGATGAAATAAATTGTAAAATAAACAATGTTACAAGTTATATAAATTTTGGTTATGAAGATCTTATACAGCACACATTATTTCAGAAGTATTTCAGAAATATTTCAAACGTTCCAAACATATAACATTGTAATCACAAGTTTCTGAAATGTTGTAGTTAAATATTTCACTGAAAATATTTCTGAAACATGGTATACATGTTACACAAAATGTTACTAGACGGGTTATTGTAAAAGGTAAACAATTAATGAAGAATTTTTGATTTGTAAGAAAATGGGATATGTAGTTATTGTATTTCATCCATGGAGGATTTCATCCTATATCCAGCCAGATACAACCCTATATTCTAAATAATTATAGATTTGAGTTGTCGGTTTTTGCCATATCCTTTTTGTTATTTATGCGTTGTGCTGTTGTTATATGGAAAGCAGAATATGTCTTTAGAAATTGAGGTGATTACTACAGAAATAATGCTTGTTTAGGTTAAGTTTATTTACTTTATCTCATTTTTGAGACGAGTGACGCATTTCGTTTATCAAATTTACAGCTAGTTTTAGTCCTATTTTTATTTAAATATAACCTACATTTGCTGTCCCTATATCTGTACCAGTTTATAGTTATAGTAATAAAAAGTAAGTACAATTACTTTTTATTTGATAAATTTATACATTTTTTTGTCATTTTTTGTCAAGTTTACTTTGGAAATACTTAAAACCAAGATGCATAATATTATTTCAAAAGGGACCGTTGTATTGGGTCATAAAACTACTGTTTCACAGCTACTTTCCTTTAAGTTGATAGGACAACTTCTTGCTAAAATAAAAAAAAATATATTATATAATTTTTTAGTCTCTAAACCTATTATACTTGTGCATTTTACTAACCATTCTATAAATTAAGTTTGTCCTTTCTTCGATAAGAACTTATTCACATTTTGTGGCATTCTGAAATATCCTTAGAATTGTTCCAAGGAAATATCTTACATTACACTATTTTAGGATTTCGTATTAAGTTTTTGCAAGTCGCCACCGCGCAGCCCGGCATTCTAAACATTGATTCAGTTCTTCCCTGTTATATAGAGGAAAATATGGTCACTTCTAACACAAAAAAAAATTAATTATTAAATTATTTTACACTATCCAATCGAAAAGTGTCAAAATAACTTGAAAGTTCGTCCCGGATATGAAGACTAGAGATGAGACGAAACGGCATACTCAAAATACGGTCCCAAAAAACGCATGCTTCTATAATTAACCGCATGGGCGCTGGTACTGCAAACGTTGTTCAAAATACATGACTTCTTATGGGTATTATACATAATTTTGTCAAAATAATAAAAATAAACTTGTTTATAGCTAAATAAAGCACAGAAAATACTGTTATATTTATTTCTAAACAAGTCTTGCATGTTTTAATTGATAAATTATTTAATTTTACCTATATAAAATACAAATTAGGTATGTATGACCAAATTCGAAAAGGTTTCTTAATTGCTGAAAAGTACAATTTTGTGGTAATTTTTTTTTTTAATTGATCCAATATATAGTTTTAAGAGTAAAATAAAACACAGTTAACAGATTTTGTATTGTTGTAATACAAGTATAAAGGGAGATTTGGGAATGTACATGGTATTACCTCATCCTTTAATTTCAGCTTTCCCCTTTTTATTTTGCTAACTACCATCAGTAAAAATAGTCTCATAATATTTGATTATATCTTCTAAAAAGTATAGAACAGCATCGTCTCTTGAAAGTGCTTTTTCCTACGACCACTTAGGAAAGTGACACATATCACACTATATAGTCCTATGGAAAGTGTCCTATATCACACGCGTATGACTAAGAATTTACTTTCCACCCAAGTGAGAATATGTTACTTTCCGCAGTAGTTGTCAAAAAATGTCAAACGCCTAATTTCTATTTTGATCTATGTTATGTCCATATTAATACTAAAATCGATATGATTGTTAAATTATTGAAATTGTTTTAAATTAGATCCTAGATATTTATCTTTAACAATTATTATTAAAATAATTTTAAAATAACTAAGATTATGTTTGCTCTTTAATTTGGGTAAATACATAACCGATTAGATCATTCAATTGACGTAAGGCCCATTAGCTCAGTTGGTTTAGACGTCGAACTTATCAACTTTGCCATTTTTTGACCGCGTTCAATCTATGGTTCAAATCCTGGCGGAGCCGAATTTTTTTTTTGTTTTTTTTTTTTATTTTT